AACAACAACAACAACAACAACAACAACAACAACAACAACAACAACAACAACAACAACAACAACAACAACAACAACAACAACAACAACAACAACAACAACAACAACAACAACAACAACAACAACAACAACAACAACAACAACAACAACAACAACAACAACAACAACAACAACAACAACAACAACAACAACAACAACAACAACAACAACAACAACAACAACAACAACAACAACAACAACAACAACAACAACAACAACAACAACAACAACAACAACAACAACAACAACAACAACAACAACAACAACAACAACAACAACAACAACAACAACAACAACAACAACAACAACAACAACAACAACAACAACAACAACAACAACAACAACAACAACAACAACAACAACAACAACAACAACAACAACAACAACAACAACAACAACAACAACAACAACAACAACAACAACAACAACAACAACAACAACAACAACAACAACAACAACAACAACAACAACAACAACAACAACAACAACAACAACAACAACAACAACAACAACAACAACAACAACAACAACAACAACAACAACAACAACAACAACAACAACAACAACAACAACAACAACAACAACAACAACAACAACAACAACAACAACAACAACAACAACAACAACAACAACAACAACAACAACAACAACAACAACAACAACAACAACAACAACAACAACAACAACAACAACAACAACAACAACAACAACAACAACAACAACAACAACAACAACAACAACAACAACAACAACAACAACAACAACAACAACAACAACAACAACAACAACAACAACAACAACAACAACAACAACAACAACAACAACAACAACAACAACAACAACAACAACAACAACAACAACAACAACAACAACAACAACAACAACAACAACAACAACAACAACAACAACAACAACAACAACAACAACAACAACAACAACAACAACAACAACAACAACAACAACAACAACAACAACAACAACAACAACAACAACAACAACAACAACAACAACAACAACAACAACAACAACAACAACAACAACAACAACAACAACAACAACAACAACAACAACAACAACAACAACAACAACAACAACAACAACAACAACAACAACAACAACAACAACAACAACAACAACAACAACAACAACAACAACAACAACAACAACAACAACAACAACAACAACAACAACAACAACAACAACAACAACAACAACAACAACAACAACAACAACAACAACAACAACAACAACAACAACAACAACAACAACAACAACAACAACAACAACAACAACAACAACAACAACAACAACAACAACAACAACAACAACAACAACAACAACAACAACAACAACAACAACAACAACAACAACAACAACAACAACAACAACAACAACAACAACAACAACAACAACAACAACAACAACAACAACAACAACAACAACAACAACAACAACAACAACAACAACAACAACAACAACAACAACAACAACAACAACAACAACAACAACAACAACAACAACAACAACAACAACAACAACAACAACAACAACAACAACAACAACAACAACAACAACAACAACAACAACAACAACAACAACAACAACAACAACAACAACAACAACAACAACAACAACAACAACAACAACAACAACAACAACAACAACAACAACAACAACAACAACAACAACAACAACAACAACAACAACAACAACAACAACAACAACAACAACAACAACAACAACAACAACAACAACAACAACAACAACAACAACAACAACAACAACAACAACAACAACAACAACAACAACAACAACAACAACAACAACAACAACAACAACAACAACAACAACAACAACAACAACAACAACAACAACAACAACAACAACAACAACAACAACAACAACAACAACAACAACAACAACAACAACAACAACAACAACAACAACAACAACAACAACAACAACAACAACAACAACAACAACAACAACAACAACAACAACAACAACAACAACAACAACAACAACAACAACAACAACAACAACAACAACAACAACAACAACAACAACAACAACAACAACAACAACAACAACAACAACAACAACAACAACAACAACAACAACAACAACAACAACAACAACAACAACAACAACAACAACAACAACAACAACAACAACAACAACAACAACAACAACAACAACAACAACAACAACAACAACAACAACAACAACAACAACAACAACAACAACAACAACAACAACAACAACAACAACAACAACAACAACAACAACAACAACAACAACAACAACAACAACAACAACAACAACAACAACAACAACAACAACAACAACAACAACAACAACAACAACAACAACAACAACAACAACAACAACAACAACAACAACAACAACAACAACAACAACAACAACAACAACAACAACAACAACAACAACAACAACAACAACAACAACAACAACAACAACAACAACAACAACAACAACAACAACAACAACAACAACAACAACAACAACAACAACAACAACAACAACAACAACAACAACAACAACAACAACAACAACAACAACAACAACAACAACAACAACAACAACAACAACAACAACAACAACAACAACAACAACAACAACAACAACAACAACAACAACAACAACAACAACAACAACAACAACAACAACAACAACAACAACAACAACAACAACAACAACAACAACAACAACAACAACAACAACAACAACAACAACAACAACAACAACAACAACAACAACAACAACAACAACAACAACAACAACAACAACAACAACAACAACAACAACAACAACAACAACAACAACAACAACAACAACAACAACAACAACAACAACAACAACAACAACAACAACAACAACAACAACAACAACAACAACAACAACAACAACAACAACAACAACAACAACAACAACAACAACAACAACAACAACAACAACAACAACAACAACAACAACAACAACAACAACAACAACAACAACAACAACAACAACAACAACAACAACAACAACAACAACAACAACAACAACAACAACAACAACAACAACAACAACAACAACAACAACAACAACAACAACAACAACAACAACAACAACAACAACAACAACAACAACAACAACAACAACAACAACAACAACAACAACAACAACAACAACAACAACAACAACAACAACAACAACAACAACAACAACAACAACAACAACAACAACAACAACAACAACAACAACAACAACAACAACAACAACAACAACAACAACAACAACAACAACAACAACAACAACAACAACAACAACAACAACAACAACAACAACAACAACAACAACAACAACAACAACAACAACAACAACAACAACAACAACAACAACAACAACAACAACAACAACAACAACAACAACAACAACAACAACAACAACAACAACAACAACAACAACAACAACAACAACAACAACAACAACAACAACAACAACAACAACAACAACAACAACAACAACAACAACAACAACAACAACAACAACAACAACAACAACAACAACAACAACAACAACAACAACAACAACAACAACAACAACAACAACAACAACAACAACAACAACAACAACAACAACAACAACAACAACAACAACAACAACAACAACAACAACAACAACAACAACAACAACAACAACAACAACAACAACAACAACAACAACAACAACAACAACAACAACAACAACAACAACAACAACAACAACAACAACAACAACAACAACAACAACAACAACAACAACAACAACAACAACAACAACAACAACAACAACAACAACAACAACAACAACAACAACAACAACAACAACAACAACAACAACAACAACAACAACAACAACAACAACAACAACAACAACAACAACAACAACAACAACAACAACAACAACAACAACAACAACAACAACAACAACAACAACAACAACAACAACAACAACAACAACAACAACAACAACAACAACAACAACAACAACAACAACAACAACAACAACAACAACAACAACAACAACAACAACAACAACAACAACAACAACAACAACAACAACAACAACAACAACAACAACAACAACAACAACAACAACAACAACAACAACAACAACAACAACAACAACAACAACAACAACAACAACAACAACAACAACAACAACAACAACAACAACAACAACAACAACAACAACAACAACAACAACAACAACAACAACAACAACAACAACAACAACAAGAACAACAACAACAACAACAACAACAACAACAACAAGAATAATAATAATAATAATAATAATAATAACAATAATAATAATAAGAATAATAATAATACTAATAATAATAATAATATCAATAATAATATTAATTATACTAATTACAATAACAACAACAAGAATAATATTAATTATAATTATTATAAATATTATTATAATTATTATTATTATAATAAAAAGGATAAATCATGTCTGAACTTTTCTGATCTGATCTGAATGTTCCTGATCTGATCTGAATGTTTCTGATCTGATCTGAATCTTTCTGATCTGAATGATTCTGATCTGATCTGAATCTTTCTGATCTGATCTGAATTTTTCTGATCTGATCTGAATAAAATAAGAATAAGCAATAAGTAATAAGATTAAACGAACAAAAGAGCACCTAACTGTTGGAATTGGTTGTTTAACTTTCTTGGCCGTAACAAGGAACATTTTCTCAACTTTCTCGACTAACTTCAGAACCTTGAAATAATACTAGTGGCAACGACAATCCCACCCTGCAAGAAAACTTCATTCTTTTCAGCTCACCCAGCTTTATCAAGCCTTCACACTCGGCCCAAAGAGACCCCAAGGATGCAAATTATGCAGCAACAGAATCAGGGGAAAATGGAAAATGTTTAGCTACATCTAAACCAAGATGACAATAGAAAAGAATAACTGCAGAGATTAATAGCTGCAAACCAGTTACAAGATGAGCTCAAAGCAAGTCAAAGTTGGGAGAAAATAAGTAGCAATATACATCCAGAATAAGGGCTACAACAGAGTATGTCTTGAGCAGAGGCACATATTTGGCTTATACTTTTACAAGAAGAAAGGAATACATAAACTTTTTAGAATAGGAGAAGGCATAAGATTAAGCAGCATAATAGAAAGATGGATACTCTGTTGAGAGACTTCTCCACCTGCATTTCTTGCCTTCTCACTCTAGGGGTACCACCACCAACTGCAGACATGCTAGGATAAGAAAATACAGTCGTGTCCGTGCTGCCAAAAATCATTTCACCAAACACCCCCCCATTTGGGCTAAAGAAACCGGTAACTTCAGTAGAAGGCCCAACTGATGCATAGCCCCCAAAAGCATGGAAAGGTGGCGGCAGTAGAGGTTGAAGATGCTGATGTGGCTGTAAATTTGGCGGTAGCACATTCGTGCCGATAGCGCGTGGCCTTTGAGGAGTGGATAAGTCAACTTCAAGCTTCGTGGATTCGGTGACGTCTGAAGATGATGAGCCGCGGCCGTAGAGCGGAACTAATGTAGAATGTGAGATGTAAGCCTTACAAACAGGGCACTGGGGGACGGGGGCCTCAATATGGAGCCACTTGTAAATGCAAGGCCAGCAGTACAGGTGACCACAAAGTGTGACCACCGGATCATGTGCTGATTCTAGACATATGTTGCAATCAAAGCCTCCGCCCGTAGCGATTTCCGTAATCATCTCTTTTCAGAAAGATCTGCATTCCAGATCATTTGCAATTAATTATGAAGCATTTGCAAATTTTCTTTTCCTTTGTTGGTAATATGCCTTAACAGAAACTACCCTTATTTAAAGGCTTCATTTGGTAGCCAAATTCTACATATACGGTGGAGTCAGCATAACAATCAGATAGGGCTTTTTACTTGTATATTCGGCTCAAGTGTATGTAACCAAGAGATTTTCCTTCAGCCATACATTACATCCATATAACCATTTCAAAAGGGCTTCTGAATCAAGGGTTGTTAAAAACAATTTTTCATCACACATGTCTTTCACTAGTTTCAATCTCCAAATACTCTATACTACACCAATTATACAGTCATAAGACCATTTCGGGTAAACTTAAATATTCAGGAGAGCAATCTGACATTTACTTCAAAGAATTTAGATAAGAGTAATCAATTGAAGGTTTGCGATTTGGTTGGTAGATTAGCCCCTTTCAGTTCTTTATGTTGAAGAAGATAAATGAAAAAGAATAAGAAAACAACGTAACTTGCAAAGAAAAAAACTCCAGAGCAGAATGAAACGATAATATTATGCATGCCATTTAAGCAAGGCAATTCGGTCAACCCATTATCTCTAATTTCAAAAAAATTGTGCACAAAAACGACGAGAGCAACCGAATTATTGATCGATTCACCAACAAGGGTTGAAATTCGCAAAAAAAAAAAAAACTCCAAAAGAGATACAGATGACGCATAGAGAGAGAGGGAGGAGAACATACCATTCAATTGAAAAAAAACAACAGAGAGGTGGCAGGAAGAAAATGAGGTGCAGCTCCGACTTGGAGGAGGAGGCCTCGGGAATCAGGGGAATGAAGAGAGTGAGATAATATAATAATAATAATAATAATAATAATAATAATAATAATAATAATAATAATAATAATAATAATAATAATAATAATAATAATAATAATAATAATAATAATAATAATAATAATAATAATAATAATAATAATAATAATAATAATAATAATAATAATAATAATAATAATAATAATAGTAATAGTAATAATAAAGGTGTTCGATAAGCACTTACATAAAAAGAGCCTGTTTGGTAATAGCCAAATCGACTGTATTAGCTGATTCTGCTATAATTTATGAAGTTCTGGCCGATGTGGCTGTATTGGCTGATTCTGCTGATTTGTGAAAAATAATAATTTAAAGTAAATTTTATTAATTAAATAAAGAAAAAACTATATGAAAAAATAGCTAAAATGACCTTCTACAGTAACTTACGCCAATACAGTCAGAAAAGTAACTCCAACCTTACTTTTTCTTATTATTACACAATTCAGCCCGTAAAATCAAAAGTTACGTGTTTGGTGAAAATATTAGCTTATAAGCCTTAAAAACCGAAAATCATGGTTATCAAACGGGCACAAACTTATAAACAACACATGAGAATCTTTTTTATTTAAATGATGGTTGATTATATAATAAATAAAACAGTTATGGGGTGTTTGAAACTGATTCTGCTTCTAAGAGTAAATTAGAGCACCAGAATTAGTTCTACACTTTCACTCAAACACTTCAACTTTTGCTTCTACTCCCTGAAGGAACAGAAGCAGTTTTAAGAATCAGATCCAAACACCCCGTAGTCATAAATATACTAACACAAGAGTTTATATACTAATTTGAGGGTGAATCTTATGAGGATGAAGAAAATTGTACTCCCTCCGATTAAAAAACAAGTTTCATATTTGACTTCACACATATTAAGAACATGAATTTGACTTTACTGTGGAGTGCACTGTTTGACACTATTTGGACAATGTTTGGACACTATTTGGCACTGTTTGACACTGTTTGGAACTGTTTTGACGTAGATAATTTGCCAAATAAGGAAAGGTTTGAAAGTGGAACTTAATTTTGGAACTGCCCGAAAAGGAAAGGTGGAACTTGTTTTTGAATCGGAGGGAGTATATGTTTTTATGGATCAATATTTCACAACACTCAATTATTATATTGGATGGTTTGAGACGCAAAATGTCATCAACAATAAATTTGATGCTTTTAAAATACAAATTCCATAATGATGAGCTTACACATTTCTTTATGCATATAAACTCTGAAGAGCTGGGTGGCTAAAGTCCATCAAACCTGCTCATATAACTTTATAAGTATATATACTAAGAATTTTCTTCACCTCATATTTTATAAATTTGGTATATACATGTTTGAATATAATGAGTTTTTATGTTTTACGTGAAACGATGATCTGATCTTGAAGACCTACTGCCAGAGGCGGACCCTTCACGGGGTCTCGGGACCCGTACACCTGGAAAAAAATACCTATATACTTCCTCCGTTCTTTTTAGTTGCAACGGTCAACATTTCACACTTGTCAACACACATCTTTGACCGTAATTATATCCTAATCCCTATTAGTAAAAAATATTTAAAAATTAGATTTTGAAAATTTGTAATAAGATGAATTGAACAATATAATTTTAAAAAAATTATTTTCATAAAATAATAATATAAAATGTAGTCAAAGTAAAACATGTGAATAGTGTAAAATTCAACATGTTGCGAATAAAAAGAGACGGAGGATAGTATATTATATATATTATATAAAATTAATTATTCAATGTATATGTAAACAAAAAATTACCTTAGTACCAAAAGAACGGAGTAGGGGAATGGTAGGTTAGCGCGCGGGATTAGAGGTTTCTGAGTTTGTGGAGGTACCATGTTTGAATTCCCTAGGCTTCTTTTTTGTTTTCCAAAGCTTTTTTAACTAAATAGACCAAAACTACGTCGTTTTGACCTTTTTTTATCACTGCCAATCCTTAAACGCGGTTACACAGAGGCAGGGCACTCAATCTTTTTTTTGGTACTATTAGTGATAATTCTATTATAGAATACTTCCAACAAATGAAGCCTAAGAGCGTACATCTGTAGAATCGTTGAATGGTTTTTATATGTAATTCATTGCCTTATAAAAGCTTAATGTTTTGATGGTGTACGTTAACTTTGAAGTGTTATGCTTTTTTAGTATTTTTTTATTAGTTTTATATTAATTAGAGATTAGAGATATAAAAGGGTAGGGACCACGTGGCTCCGACTTTCTGGGTCCGCCACTGCCTACTGCTATTGTTTTATGTTAGCTAAGTTTTGTCCCAAAAGAGTTTTCTTGACCAACAGGTTTAACAAGATATTTTGTGTTTTTCTAAAGATTGAGAACATAGCATTGGGAAACTAATATCCTCTAGAAGAGTGATTTTAGCATCATTTAGAATATAATGCCGTGAATGTCTTAATTTTCCTTGTGAGATGGAACAATTGATCCGGAAAACTAAACAACCATTCTTGGTGTACACGTTTTTGTACCCATCAGTACACGCATGTGTCTGTGAGAGTTTTTTTTTTGTCTGTGAAGCGCGGTCCACAGACATAAGTTCGCTTGTTTTGTCTGTGGAAAATTTCACAGACAAAACAAACCAGCTTATGTCTGTGGACCGCACTTCACAGACAAAAAAAACTCTCACAGACACATGCGTGTACTGATGGGTACAAAAACGTGTACAAAAGGAATTTTTGAAAACTAAATGCACTTGTACTATTTTTCTTTCACCAGGTTTTGTCTCATAAAGGTTTTCTTGGTCCAATGTTTTATTGAGGCATTCATTTATTTTAAAACAAGAAAAGGATTATTATTAAAAATGGAGGGGATTTACATAGTTTGATTGTGAAGGGCGCCGATTGGGCCCATAAAGAAAAGAAAATAAAGTGTGGCCAAAAAGGGGGCCTACTAGAGTAAAAGTGTTATCGGTCCAAATAAGGGGATATATTCTCGAACATAATACTTCTAATCTCATTTGAAAACTAATTATGGAGGAAAGAGATAACTAAGATTAAATAATAGCCATCTGATTCAATTAATCAAAGGTTGGATCTTATTCTTTTTTCTCTCCTAGAGCTCCTTTCTCACAGGAACCAATCCCTATATATATATATATATATATATATATATAGGGGGGAGATCCCATGCAAACCCCTCTTCCGGTGCAAACTACAAACTAATCAGCACTGTCCATTGACATTAGATAGATGGCTATCCGTATGGCTTCCACGATAATACTCCTGGGTTGAGAAGCTGCCAATTAAAAGCCCACTACTGTATTACATTTAGTTACAGGGCTACTAATGTAATCTTAACTTCCCTTCTCCTAGACTTACGTGAACTAACTTCCCACTAATTAAAATAACCATCCAAATAAAGCCAACTTATTCAAGGTAAGTGGCAGACAAAGAGAATCCATGGATTAATGCTAGACGTAAATTGAAAAATAACATACCTTTCTTTAATTGATAATTAATGATCGAATTGACAAAATGAATTTCTTAATTCCCACAATTTGTCGATCCATTCTAACCTTTTATTTTCAAAATCTAGCTTCCATTTTTTAGTATGAATTATATCGCACTGCATATTAAGATTACGGAATGTGCATCATATAATCATAATGTCTGCATAAGTTACTTTAGAAGTTCATATTGATAAAATATCTCTATGTTGGATTTTAGAAGATCATATATTGCATTGTAGAAAATTGACACGTGGAGTTTAGAAATTCATATGATGCATCTTATTGTTACATCATTTGCATCACATACTCAACTAACATGCATATGAGTGGTCAAGATACGTGTGAACCACACATAAAGGTTACGAGATGTGCATTTTATTATTACCATGTCTGCATATGATAATATGTGTGAAATAAACTTCTTTTATTTAAAAAATTAATCATTTCATAATTATAATGTCTGCATAGTAGTGATGCACATGTTGCACTTTTAGTCACATTATCTATGTTTCATATTGAGCTAATTAAATTATTACCTTGCACTTTGGAAGTCTATATGTTGCATTTTATCATTATGATTGTGCATTCATTGTATAATCATTTTTGAAGTTCAAATTTTGCATTTTATCATTATTACATGTGCATTTTTCAGAATTCATATATATTGCATTTTAGTAAGATGACACATACATCTTAGGAGACCATATGTTGCATCTTATAGTTATGAAATGTGCATTTATTCTATAATCATTTCTGAAGTTCATATGTTGCATTTTATCATTGTCACATGTGCATTTTAGAAGTTCACATATATTGCATTTCAGTGAGATGACATGTGCACCTTAGGAGACCATATGCTGCATCTTATCATTATGACATCTGCATTCTAAACTCAATTAACATGCATACGAGAATCATCAGATTTAGATGACATGATGCAAAATATATGAGAAGAATGTTCTAAATGACAAAAATATTACTATAATTTACATACTAAAGCTATAAGAACTTCGCATAAACATGAAATTGTGTTGATTGATATGAAACATTTTTGCATACTTAAACGACAAAAAAATTCGGATACTAAAATCGCAAGAACTTTACATAAACACATAACTGATGAATTGAGATACGAAAACAAATATCAAAAACAAAAAATTAAAAAATTCTGGTATGCCCTACACAACAGATTCCATGGAGATGTCGGAATCCATGGAGTTTGAGAACTAATGTTCTCCCTGTGTGTGCTGGAATCTATGGCGTTTGAATAGAAGAACACTAATCAAATTCTATTAAATTTGAGATGGAGAAGGAGATGGAAATATGGAGATGTGGATGAAGAGAAGCTTTGATATCTAGAGTAATTGCATATTGATGGACGATGAACTTGGTAGGAGAGAGGGAAGGAATCAATTATCATTCGGGTGGGAAAAGGTAACGTGAGATTTTTTCCAAAAATAAAATAAACTAAGAAGACTAATAAACCCCTAACTGTATGATCTAATCTAGATGAAGTACATGGCTCATTCATTAAAATAGATGGTTAGGATTAAGTTTGTAGGTTAGCATATTAAGATGGGTTTGCATTTGATCTCTCATCTATATATATATATATATATATATATATATATATATATATATATATATGATAGAGTATATGGGCCTGGACCCCATGGCTCACATACTCAACGGCCCAAAAGACACCAGCGGGACACCCGCATCGGCCAAAGGCACGTGACGTCCAAGAAAGAAGACATCGACTGATTTCATGAAGCGCATCGTCCATGGACCGCATCGTCCATGGACCGCATCGTCCAGGGACCGCATCGTCCATGGACCGCATCGTCCGGACTTCGTCCAGACGGAATGTATTTTTCATTCCATTTACTAAGTATTGTACACAGCCCATTAGTGGCCTTATTTCGCCCAAAGAAGGCATGATTATTGTAATGGGCCTCCTAAGCCCGAGGCTAGGGGCCCAAATCCTCATTTTTACCTATAAATAGACCCCAAGGGGCTAATTATAGGGGGTTCCAAGTTGAGAAATATAATTACTCACTTTCTCTCTCTAGCTCTCACTTCTCTCTAGAATTAATACTCCATCAATATATATATATATATAACACATCGTTTTACATATATTATGCATTATTTTTTGATTGGTTTTTTCTCAAAGGTTTTTCCAACAAGGTTTTTAACGAGGCATATACATGGTATGATAATTCATTCGAGAAATTAGTAACCATATTAGATTGGATTGGTTTTTAACAATATACATTCAAAGGGGAGTGTTATATAATATATGAATTTTTATTACTCCCCCGACCAATATGTATTCTTAAGATATGGCTCGATTATCTTGTAACCATAATCACATTCCCCTTTGTATGTGTGTGCGAGCGCTATGTGCTAATGAAGAGTAGAGCTTTTTGGTATTATTCATTACAAGTAATAAAAAGTCATTGGTAATTTTAGAAAGTTTACATATTTTTTTAGGCACGTATAAAGTTAAGTATGTCTTACAAAATAGGATGGAGGGAGTAACAAAACTTGATGAAAAACAAATATGGACCATCGTTATAAATTGTGGACCGCAACACGTGTTGTGGCCGCATTACGGCAGTTGCGGTCTGTAACGTGGTTGCAGCGGAACTGCAGGGTGGCCGCAAAGGGGAATCAATGGCCCGCATCAGGCCTCATCGAAAATCGTCTTTACATTGGATGGTTTGGTGTTTTGATGATCCCGACTTTATTGACCGCAACTTCTGTATTTATTATTGCCTTCATTGCTGCTCCACCAGTAGATATTGATGGTATTCGTGAACCTGTTTCTGGATCTCTGCTTTACGGAAACAATATTATTTCAGGTGGCATTATTCCAACTTCTGCAACCGCATCGTACCGCATTCGGAACATATCACTAATTTTGTTTTCATATTTTCATTCAAACATAAAATTAATTCACATCGTAGCAACAGCATACACATCGCATCGGCCATAATAGTCATAACCGCAGTGACCATGACCGCAATTTAAAACTTTGATATGAACTAATATAAAATGTAAAATATATAATACTCTGTATATGATAATGGATACTTTAAGTTAATAATCACTTAACAAATACGAATTTATAAGTAGTTCTGATTAGTTCATAAGAAAAATATTACAGTAGTTTAGGATCCTATAAATAATTCACAATATCTATTACGGGTAATAATATCATTTTTACAATAGTAACTATAGTAAACAAGAGTGCCGTATTTCCCAAAAAAAAAGGATGACATCCCTGGTGGCCTCCAGAACCGATCAAACAATTATTTAGGAGAATTTAAGTTAAACTTTGATCATACTATGAGAGAAAGATAATGAGATTTCATCCCAAATAATCATTACTTGGAGTCGAACTTGGGACCTCTCCCTGGTGACACTCTCTTTCTACCAGGTGAGCTACGCCCAGTAAAGAGCCGTATTTCCCAAAATATTATCCTCAGTACCATGTTGTGGTTGTTGTCCCACTGACTCACAGATAGACCTGCACAACAGCGGGTTTGGGCCGGGGTCGGGCCGGGTTTTTTATAAGTTTTCTGCCCATCGTGTGTGGGCGGGCCCGGCCCACAAATACGGGCCTAACCCCATGTCCATACCTGCCCGTAAGAGCGGGCCGGGTAGTCCACCGGGCCGTCGGGCCTGGGAAAACTTTAAATTTTTCAAAATTATATAATGCAATTAATACTTTATAAATAATATTACAACATTTAAAAAATGCTAATACGCTTATAATGTATATAGACCTTTCATCACATACACAAAAAATATTTACACAAAAATAATAATGAGAAAGTATATCTAAAATTTAAAATTCAAGCACAAAGTATTATCTTTAAGTACACAACTAGATATTATATTGGTTGGATTATTTGTTAAGAACTAAAAACTTAAATTTAAACATGATAAACTATAAATATGTACACGGATAAATTAGTAAATATAAAAATATACATGTGTACATGTAAATAAATACATAAATTAGTATATATAAACGTATATATGTATATATACTAAATGTAGCGGGCCGGGCTTATCGGCCCGAACGGGCCTACACCCTAACCCAAGCCCGCCCATATGTTGTTGCGGGCCGGTGGGTAAATATATATGCCCAAGCCCGCTAATTTTTGCGGGCGGGCTGGGCGGGCCGGCCCGGTTTTGTACAGGTCTACTCACAGAGGATCATGTCAAGCGAAAAGGGGCCTTTTCCCCCCTCTTACGCCAAATAATTGGTACGGAATAAATTATACTCCTTCGTCCCACCGGACTTAACCAACTTTCCTTTTTTGTTTATCCCAAAAAACTTTGTCACTTTCCTTGTAAAGCAATGAATTTGTGATTCTATTCATTTATCTCTTTTTTGCAAAAACTTCGCAAAATTTTTACTATTCCAATTTCTTACCCTACATCAACTTCGCAAAAAAGACAAATAGAATACTTTCTACACACAAATTTTTACTATTCTAATTTCTTACCCTACACACAAATTTCTACACTATTTTATCCGTGTTACACACATCTTTTGCATTTTAAAGACAAATAGAATACTTTCTATTTTATCCCGTATTTTAATGTACACTACAATAAACTTAGATAGATGATGAAAAAGTATGGGGAAAAAAAGATAAAAAGCAGAGAATATAATAATAATTGAGTATTTTAAAAGGAAAAATTTGATACCGAGAAAATATAAGGTGTACAAAAGTGTAGCGACTAAAAGTGTACAAATGGGCTTCTACAAATCTAGTTTTCCTACATTATATTCCTTCCAATTCTCTATCTAATTTAAATTTGGCCTCGTTTGTTTTTCGGCGATTCATACATACCCGCTGCATTTTGCAGAATTTCTAGTTTAAAAAAAGAAGAGTGTTTTGGGTAAAACGCTGTGATCCAAACAAGGCCTTTAGGACTTGAAGAAAGGAAATGTTCAAGTGTTGACACTTGACAGGTATTTACAATCTACTAATGGAGTAAAAATAGGCTGTAACTTGTAAAGGGTAAATGAAATGAGAGTAAAAGTTATCATTTCATCATTTCATGATTGAATGTTGCCAGAAAGGGAAATATGGCTTTAAGGTGGGACTTCTGAAAAAGAAAAATGAAAACTTAACCAAGAACGGGAGGGGATAGTAATCAAATTAAAAGAATCTAGACGAAATAAATACACCGTATAATGTCAGTATGACACATAAATTGCGATAGATTCATGAAAGAGCAATGGAGCAAGCTCAATTCAATTTAGAAATACAGCCGAGACAAAAACTACATCCAGAGGCCCTGAGATTTTCTTTTTTAAAGTTAAATATGCAGAACTTCACTTGGTGTAGCCTTCCATCTTGTAGTGAATCGCCTAGAGTGCACTGGTAATGAACCTCTGCTACCGTGCTTCCTACCATACCTTTTTTTCCCACTCTTTTCTTTCCTTGCTGACGATCCATCTTCATCACTCCAGCGCTTCCTATGCCTCTTCTTCGGACTCTTTTCTTTCCTGGATGACCCGCTGCTGCCCATCTCTTCATTATCTCTTATCTTCTTCTTAGATGTATGCCTCTCCTTCAACGACTTCTTTCTCTTTTTTCCAGAGGGCAGCTCAGTTCTTATGTGCTCTTCGGCTATATCGTTCCCCCTGGGAAGCAATTCTTCATCATCATCGTCAAAGTGTAAGTGCCAGTTACAATGCATATCATGTTGATCGATGTATTGTTGGGGTAAGGGCTGGCCAGCAGCACCTGGAAACAAGCAGTTCAATGCAGCGCCACCACAAGATCCGCCTTTCCGCTCTAATAGAACCTCGTCTGGTCGTATTATCATGCCAAGTATGCTTCTAGAAGAACCCGATTCCAAAATGGCGTTTGTGTTTGTGAGAGTCGTGAAAGCCATTGCAAAAGCCGATTTTACCTGCAGTGGTTACGCAATTAAGTACATTGGTCTTGCCAAAACTTTAATGGAAATCAATCCAGTTTGGTTCAGGTACAAACCCAGCCTTATCTGCCTTATTCTGCTTACAATTTTTTTCATAAGTATTATAAGTATGCTTTTTCTTGCCTGTTTGGTGTAGTTGATTTTACCCAATACTTTTACTTGAAGAAATTTCAACATATTCAGCAATTTCAGCTAAAACCACTCCTACCAAACAGGCACCAAGTGTTCTAAATAGTGCTATATGCTACATTTAACCAATAGATACTTAATCATGCAGTGTTAACCATTTTGCAGTAGAACCCAGCAATGCTGAAAAACATGGCATTAAACTTTTGATGCAATCACAATTTGGGGACTAAAATGCAAACTTGAGAGGACCAAAATGATAAGGTGGTTCAACACTTATGTAGAGAGGGTTGTTCTTGTACAAAAACGTGGAACCAACCTGGAAATAGTTGAAAGAGCTCTTTCCAACATCATTCTCTGGTGCCTGTTATCACCCAAGGATTAAAAACAATCAGAGGCCGACAAGCGAGAAGTGCAATGTGCGAGCACCGAACACGCCCACAATGAACTAACAATAATAACCCCAACATACCCCAGTTTACTTTTCAATAAATGACTAGACAATGCTTTGAGATTGGCATATAGTTTTACTAACCCTCTAAATGGCTTCAATCCATTCCCAACTAATCTCATATTATCATCGCACTAATGAACGAAATAAAAGATCATAAATTAAATAGTATAAATAAAAATAAAAAATAAAATAAAATGAGAAAATAGAAAGTAAACATTTCACATGCAGTTATTTCCTGAACCAATCCCGTGTAAGACGTAAAGACCCGTGAACAGATTACCTGTGGATCCTCAATGGATATTAGATTAGCCTTTCCATCAATTGAGAACCTATGTAAGCAACAATTAAAAAGGCCAAGCTTCAAGTTTTCATCACAAGATGTTTCTATTCCACAATCAAATATAGAAAGAGAAACTGACACAATGATTCACAATGATATTAGCATGCTATATACCCTTTAGTTCTCTTCTGGAAGAAGGTTCCTTCTCCATTACATGACAGTCCAACAGAAGATGTATTGAGTTTGCGTCCATACAGATCGAAGAAACCAACCTATGTGCATTAGAGAAACACATCATTTCCCCATACACAATAAATCTACAAGGGGAAATCATCAATCGAGCTATGAAATCCAGGGTACTTTTTGTCAGTGCCGCTGGTCAAGGGAATACACAGAAAAAATAGCAAAGGAAGAAGCAGTTAGAGGGAAAGCAACAAAATAATGAAAAGGGACATAAACAATGTGAACCTTGGAAGAACATATGTACTTTTGAAGGAGATAGCTATTATTTTAGAATTTTAACCTTCTGAGAGCAATATAGTATGGGCCCACAAAAAAGGTAAAACATGAAATGACATATAAAAGGACAATGTTGGGATCTAAAAGTTAGTGGAGTTCACACTAGGAAAGTGCCCCTATTTTTAATACAGGAAAGAAGGAAAATTGTATCTAACAAATTGGAACAGAGATGTCGAGCCAAATAAGGCAGGAGTGAGAGAACTTTACCAAAAGCACTCCAAGGTTCTGTTCCCTTGAAGCTTGAAAGTCACGATGGTTCTGAAACACATAGCATCTAGAAATTGAGTATACTGAATAGGCATTGACCTAGGGGAGAAGCAATTGGAATAAAATCCTGAATCACTTAATTACCCGCAACATTGCTATGAGCATGACAAGAAGACCATATGAACCTATCCCACCTGTATATACCTGAAATGTAAGAGGACTCAATGTCTGTAAAGAATTGAAAGTACTATGTCAAACACAAACTGAAAGTCTGAGGATGTTTTCACTTGGCTTGAAATTTTCAGGTCAGGCCTGACAAATGTCTCGTATGGTGTGCTTAAGTCTGAGCGTGGGAATGAAATAAGTCCAAGTGAAAACATCTTGAATCATCAGTGAGATATGTACCAAATATATAGCCCCACCTCATTTAACTCTCTTTGCTGTAGGAAAATTTTCAAAATCAAACATAAGGGTCGCAATGGAGGCCATTTAGACACAGAATCCTGAAAGAAATGAATGTATCAGCAACAGTCAACAGAATAATATGATAGATTCCTCACAGTTCCAGAACAATCACTAGCACAAATTTCAATTAACAATACACAAGCAACTCAATGTAATCAATTTACAATTCTCAGAAACAGGAAATTCTCATTACAAGGGTAAAACGTGTACACTGTCCCAAAGAAGGAGTTAGAACTCCAACTTCCCAGTCCCAGACAGTGTCTAACTGCCTGCCTATCCCCAGCAGCTTATTCTACTATTTATAACCTTCCACACTCGGAAAGTAGTTACTACCTCTGTCCCTTTTATATTGGGACGGGAGAGGGTGACACGAGTTTTAAGAAAAGTGGGTTTGTGTGGTTGATATTAATTGATAAAGTAAGAATAAAGTAAGAATGATTTTGAGCCACACAAACTTTACCAAATATGGTATGGGACAATTTAAGTGGGAATTCCCGAAATGGTAAAACGGGACAATATAAATGGGACCTTAGTTTTAAAAGGCACGAGGCGGCTTGAGGCGATTTCATTGACTTACCCGAGGCGCGAGGCGCTAGGCGATGATGCGCTCGCCTCACGGACCTTAACCTTATAGCTTTGGAAAAATATATTTATACTACTGCATGAAGAACTCTTCCCAAAAAGTGATAAATCAAAAAATACTTCAAATTATTAAACAATCTTAATAAACACCTTACGAGAGAAAAATAAAATATTTATTCAGACAAAATAGCAAAAAGTATATACTCGTATTAATAGAAAAATAGTAATAATATTAATAATATAAATGAACTTTTACATAAAAATATTAATAATATAACAAGCTGTCTTATAAACAGGTAAATTGATAATGTATCTGATAGGACAAACCATCTTTATTATTATTTTAAATTGATAAACATTCTGATTGGGATTAGGGTTTAGGGCAGATTGTTATAGTTTTATATATTTTAATAATTTTTATTATTTTATAAATTTAAAAAATTAAGATAAAAGAGAATTAAGAGGAGAAGAGAACAAAAAAATATAAAAGCATACCTGGGACGCGAGAGAGAAGCGGAAGATAGAAGGCAGAAGAAGAGAAGCAAACGCAGAAGGCAGAAGATAATAGATAGACATATAGTTTGATGAACTTTAACTTAACGATATATAAGACCTACGATATTCTGGAAGTAATATCTGAATGACTGAATCGCTAAAAGGCTTCAAACGTTAATCGCCAAGGTTTTGAAGAAATACTATCGGACACTTCCAAGAGGCGTGAGAGGCGGACGCCTCTCAGACGCGCAAAAAGCGGCAAAAGGCATGAAAGAAGGCGCGCCTCTTGGAATCTGCTACGCCTAGGGGGTTAAGATGCGATGAACCCATCGCCTTAGGGCGCCTAGCGCCTTTGCGCGCCTCAGGCGCGCTTTTTTAAACCAAGAATGGGACAGAGGGAGTATTAGTTAAAAAAACAACTCCCTCAACTAATACTTAACTAGTCTCCTTTGACTTTCTAGAATAGACATGCCCTTTAAATCTATTCTAATTATTTAGACTAGCCGGGTACTTATCATAATAGTACACACTATCAGGTTATTCCATATTTCTTCTTTCCATCAGTTTAGCTGGTCAAGAGATGAGAGAGGATAAAATAACAAACCACAATAAACTCTGCTGCTTTGGGCCCATTTTGTAAATCAAAACTGTAACCAAGAGAAAAATGTGTGAGTTAAATGGAGAGAAATGAAATCAAGGGATAAAATAAAAATGCAGACTGAGGGCGTATTAACCTTATATCAAATGAGATGCCGCTTTTCTTTTCCACAAATTTGATGATTGGAACGCGAGCCTTCGCGATCACCTGATTTTTTAGACAAAGCTAAAGCATAAGAATAGAACTAAGTAGAATGACAGTGATGCAACAACAAACTGAAACCTGCCTGTATCTTCCTGGCAATTCTTTTTTGTGAAAGGGCTTTTGACAGAGCATGTAACCCAATTTGAGGACTTCTGATATCTGACTCCATGATGACAACCTACAACTCGATAGATATCGCGATCCTTAGTATAAGAGTAAATACTCAAACAATCATTGTAATTCCAATTATATGAACCTTTTGAATCCCAAACATGTTCTCTTTCACCACCACAACAAAAACCCATTCTTCTAGTTTTGATTACCAAGAAGAAATAAACTTTCCTAATTACAATGTCTAATCTCACACATAAGTTCTTGCTTCAGATGGCTTTAAATAAGATATAAAGCCAGGAGGGGTGAGAAAGACCCCCTGCCACTTTTTTCAATACTGTAAATTTGCAAGCACTTTTATGAAAATTGCCACCCCATAATAATAATAATAATTGCCCCACGCAACGCAGAACCCTGGCTAGTTCCTTGTTACTTGAATCATTATAAAGAATAATATAGAGAAAAATCAATTTTCAAGTACTAGTATTAAGACTATAACACCATATACGTTCAAAATAGACCTCATCGGAAGATAAAACCAAAGATTAAAATGCTTATTAGTTACAACTACTATTAATAGAAATTAGAAGGTATTTATTAACTTACATCAATATCACTGGAAGGAAGATACAGCCCTGTCCGGAAAGACCCAAAAACTTCTGGCTGCAACGAATACAAGAATGCATTTCTCTGTGAGGAGGCTTCATAAACACATGGATAAGACATACATCTTATGTTGTACTTATAGCATGCAAAAGGTGTAATATTGATTAACTCTAAACTATAAAGGTGAGACACCTTGCTTTCCGGCCAGATGTACTTGATGACTTCAAACACACGTTCTTCTGCAGCACTTCGTGCTGCTTGTTCCTCTTGACTTGGCGATAGGAAATCACAAAAATCTATTATCTCTGCAATCTTGCAGACAACAATCTGAGAACCAAGCTTTATTCGAGAAACCAAAGGGAGCATAAAAACAAAACAAACAATCAATGCCCATAACCGCATGAAGCGAGCTTTAATGTTATGATGATTAAAGGCATGTTTTGCTGTACATCCAGCTAAGCAGAACTAAGGACAGTACCTTTGTGGAGCTGAAGCATAGGACTCCTGAGACGACAGGTGGCGCTAAACCAGTTTCCTTCAATCGTCCTAGCCGATTCCTTAACAGGCACCGTTTGAGAAGCTGGATGTGGCGGCAAGAACAAATTCCGGTTAACCTCTTCGTCGGCATCGAGCGAAAAATAATCCTGCGCGGCAGTTTCAGGAAAGGGGAATGAGGTTGAACTTAGAGAAACTTCGCTGCGAAAAACGGTGTATGGCTCATGTTTATCGGGAAGAAACGGTGACAAAGACGGGGCGGCCGACTGTTCGGTAGAAGCTTCGCCCTGGAGTGGGCTTAGGGTATCGTATAAAAAAGCTTTGGCCTCCTGGTTTTCCATTGCTTGGCGGGAGGCCGGAGCAGTGGATTCACGGCGGTGTTATAAGGTTTAGGCCAAGGAAGTGTTTGTCGGAAAGATTTATAAAAATGGGCTCAAACGGAGCCCAAGTTTGAAATTTAACAAAATACTCCGTCCTTTCCTTTTGCCAAATTTGATCTGACGCTTGAAAACAATAAACTAAAAACCAAATTTTATTTTATTTTTACAAAATTTTATCTATTTTCTTTTTGTCTTGAATTTAAATTTTTTGTGAAATAAATTGATTGATTAAAAAGGAAAGAGTTTTCTGTCCTAAATAGGACTAAAATGTTGTCTAATTCTAAAATAGGAGTATGCATACTCTTACTACCTAAATAGGAGTATAGGACCATTACGGTTCACTACTACCCATTCATTCTTCTCTCTTTCTTCTCAAGTTGGAGTCTGATGAACGAAACCTAGCTGCAAGGAGCCACGAGTGGCGACAAAACGATGATGAACAACAGCAGTTGCAAGCAATACTGACCGGCGACGAGCAACAAAGGAGTCACGGCGAGCAGCGGTGGCCGGCGGCGAACAGCGAAAGAGCCACGACGAGCAGAGGCGGCCAACGGCGAGCTTTGTTCATATCTGTTGATGAAATTGATGCTCGTAATTCTCCCCTAGCTATCTCTTCCTTCTCCTTCTTTCTCAACTTCTCCTCTCTAGCTATATTCTTTGTCTCTCTGTCTCCCACTTTTATTTCATCACGGATTCTGGAGATTTGAAATGCTTAGCATTCAACGATGGCAACTGGCTTCATCATCTATGATTTTTTAAAAATGTCACATTTTGTTTTAAAAAAAGCCATGAATATGGCATTTTACTCTTCAAAATTGCCATATTCTTCTTTGCAAATGTCATTTATGGTGGCTAGAGTAAGTATCTTGTTGTTCTCACAATCCTGCTTTCTCTTCGGCCTCTTTTTTCTCTGGATCTGCCTTTCCCGTCTTCTATTTCGTGCTAGTTGAAAAAACAAAATCGAGATGCTTCTTTGGGTGTTCTTTGCTCGCGAAAAAATGTCAAATTATATTCTGAAAATGCCATCAAAATGGATTTTTTCTCTCTCTTCCGAATGCCATATTTTTCTTTGAAAATGCCATTAATATTGCATTCTCGTTTCATGTTGACATTCAATACTAATGTTGACATCAGCGCCGACGGCTGCCAGATCTGCCGCGGGGGAGGCTGGATCTGTAGCGGCAGAGGGCGGATTTGCAGCAACGACCACTGGATCTGCAGGGGCGGTGACCGGCGACGATTGATCTGGCAAGATCTACGGCACTGGTGGCCAGATCTGTGGCGGTGACGACTAGATTTATAGTGGCGGCAGTGGCAGTCGGCGACTGGAGGCCGACGAATGGCTGCGATCCGACAGCAGTCCGGCGTTCTGTATGCTGCAGTGGGTTTTGACAAGCTTCAGGGTATTTTTGTCCAATTGCAAATAATAACTCCTATTTGAGGAAATTTTAAACTTTGCTCCTATTTTAACAATTAGGGATTTATTTACTCCTATTTAGGTTAATACTGGAAAGGAAAGTGGCAAAGTTTTTGGGACAACCAAAAAAGGAAAAAGTTGACAAAGTTATAAGGGACAGAGGGAGTAGCATTTTGTTGTAGAATGAAAAGAAATTTAATTAGATTCTCTTATAAAATAAAACAAAAAAATTGCTCTCGGTAGAACACTTTCATTACTTTTTTACAAAAATAAGATCGAATCTGTCAATTACTTGTGTAGGACTCCAGAAGTCCTATTTTAGGAAACTCAAATATCATTTTCCAAAATTACCCCAGCTACTTTTATAAACTTTTACTTTGTATTCAGTTAAACGCATTGAGTTTCCCTGAACTAGACTACCGAACTGAAGTCTCAATCATCATCTTTGCGTTCTCTCATATCTTCTCTATGTTCTCGCACATTGATTTAGCTTTTCTCTTCCACAATTATCTCTCGCGGTCATCTTCTCTACGTACTCTGCACTCTTCTCATGTAAGTTTTTGGTGATTCTACATCATGTGTATTATTCGCTCTGCTTTTTTTGAACTCTTAGATTTTTTTTAGTTTGTATTACTTTTTGGCATTCGAATGTTTGTTATCTAGCTCATGCAATATTTCATGTCATTCGAGTGTTCCTTATCTTTTGATTTCTTTGGATTTCAATGTTTGTTATCATTGCTACGTTATTATCATTGGATTTCATTGTAATCGTTTTTATGAATTAGTAATTCTGAGTTTCTTATATTGTTTTCGGGTATATTAATATGTATGAAGATGATGTAGTGTGCTTATTCATTAAACAAATCAATATACTTTGTATTTTACTTTTTTTTCAATTGATTTCCAAATTTATGGGTGTTTTTGCTCATTGCTATTTTCACACACTTTGATGGATGTCGATTATGCTCAAAGTTGTTGGTTGTTGGGATGATTCACATGTTTTTTCTAATAAAAGAACTTGCGGCCAAATACTTCATGGTGAGACACTATACAATGCTTTCACTGAATTGGTTTACTTATGCATTGGTGCACTTGCTTCAAAAGATATGGAGAAAAGAGGCAAATAAGCCCTTGAACTATTTGCGATTCTGCAATCAGACCCTTGAACCGGAAGACTTGCAAATACACCCTTCAACTCGTTGAAAATTAAGCAACTAAATCCTTTTTTATCCGCCGATATAGGTAAGAAGATGAGAAATTACCGGCACCAACAGGTAAAAAAGTTATGATTGCTTAATTTTCAACGAGTTGAGGGGTGTATCTGCAAATCTTGCGGTTCATGGACCTGATTGCAAAAACACAAATAGTTCGAGGGTTTATTTGCCCCTTTTCTCAAAGAAATGCTTAAGTTTACATATTTGGTTAAGTCATGCCCTCCTCTAGTTGTTGTTAATGATGATAATAGTTTGAAATGTTACCTTACACTTAAGAAATTGCATCCTGATTATGTGAAGTGTCCCTTATGTGTTGAATTATGCCCTGTTTCCGCTTATAATTGGGCCTACTGCTCTTCTATAGTTGCTGCGATTGATTTAAATGCTTCTCCACTTAATGAACATGCCCAATTACTCTTACAATCAGTTTCATCTCCTTTGCATGAAGGCAATTCTTTTGAGTTCTATGCTACCAATGATGACATTTCAGCAGTTTGTGAAGATACAACTCTTTTGCCTACACCTTCGTCTTCATATCCTGACACTGAAGATGATGATGTTAGTCCAGAGTTTGAATTACGTAATGTTTCTGATTTCCAAGATATTGAAGTAATCTCTCGTTTTAATCCTACACATATAGCTAAAGAGTGTACTATGTATTTATAAGGGCAAAAAGGCATTGGATTCCCATTTGAAAATGTATGTTATTTCAAATCTTTTCCAATATAAGACGAGGACATCAAATAGAAAAGTATTGCATGTTGTTTGCCTAGATGATCATTGCATTTGGTCTGTTCGTGCAGTTAGGTTGGGTGGTTGTCAAATGTTTCAAATAAGAAGGTAATTTGATCATGTATTTCACTGTCCTTTCATTAATTTGTTTTATGTATTATTATTACTATTTACTGTATGTTTACCGTGTTATTATTGTTTGCTTCCTTTTCAGGTTTGATAGTGTTCATATCTGTGCTCTTAATTTTAGACAAGGTCCCCATCGTCAAGTGACATGTGATATAATTGAAGAATTGATTAAAAGTCGATATGTTGATGCTTCAACAAAACCGTATGCTCCAAATGATATCATCGTTGATATGATTCATACTTATGGTATTGTTTTGCCATACAAAAAAAGCATGGAATGCAAATAGAAAAGCTCAACAAAAGTTGATGGGTTCAAATGAGGAATCATATCAGTTGTTACCATCCCTTGCTTATGTTTTGAAAGAGAAGCATCTTGGTTCAGTGATCAACTTAGGTATTGATGCCAATGATCATTTTGAGTCTTTTTTCATGTCATTGGATGTGTGGATTCAAGGCTGGAATCATTGTTTTCCTGTCCTTATTATTGATGGATCATTTATGAAAGCATATTATAAAGGGACTCTACTAACCGCTTGTGCTCAATATGCTAACAAGCAGATATTTCCTCTAGCTTTTGGCGTTTGTGACAGCGAGCGAAAGACAACATGGACTTGGTTTTTTAAGAAACTAAAGGAGTGACTCGCATTCAGGAATGATGTATACATTGTTTCAGACCGTCATGAGGGTATTCTTCATGCAGCAAAGACTGTTTCCACATGTTAAACATGGGCATTGTGTGTTTCACTTGTTTGGAAATATTAGGTCAAAGTTCAAGGGTTGTACGAAAGGTCTTTCATGGAAATTTAACCAGGTTGCAAGAGCTGCCACTTTTGCTTAACTGGAGAGTTTCTTGGCGTTATTAGATGCTGAAGATCCTCATATCAGTGACTATTTTTATGGAATAGGTGTTCAAAGATGGGCACATTGTTACTCCACTTTCTCTCGGTACTCTATAATGACATTCAATAATGCAGAGTCAATTAAATTAGTGGTCCGTGTTCCCCGTGAGTACCCCATAGCAAAATTGATTGATTTTTTTTTTGCGTGAAAGGATGCAAAAGTGGTTCGTTGAACGTCGTGATGCATCAGCAGCCAATAAAATAGTTCTTTCTAAGCACTTTGAGTCCCATCTTCGTGCTTACCATGCTGCAACATCACTTACGACTGTAAGTGTATTACTTTTTCCTTGTAAACTCATTTTTAAGTATTGTTTCTTCTCAGCTTGACATATTATTTATTATAGTAGTTTATTTTAATATTCTGTATCATATTCTAGGTTAAGCCGGCTACCCAGTTTGAGTTTGAGGAGGTGGACATAACTTTCAAAATCTTCATTGTTGATTTGAAGGCCAAAACATGCTCATGCATGTTTTGAATTTCAACTTGAGCAGTTCATATGTGTTCATGGTGTCACGGTTATGCGTCATCGTCGCAGTTTATCTTGTTATGACTATATTTCAAAGTATCACTTCAAATAATCTTGTATTGCTGCTTATAGTGGGGTGGTTCACTCTATTGGTTCTCCTGTGGATTGAGACATTCTTGCTTCTATAAAGTCTAATATATGCAAGCCGCCTACATGTCTCACCCGCCAACCTGGTAGACCTAAGAAGCGTATACCTTCAACTGGAGAATTTTCTTCCCGCCAACGGTGTTCATAGTGTAAAAAGGGTGGACACAATAAGAAGTCATGCAGGAACCCAATTTCAGTTTGTAGTCTTTACTTAAAAAAACTAGCAATTGTCTTCACTTTCTCCTTGAATAACTGTTGTAAGACATTCATTTTTCAGTTTTATTCTTCTTTACTGTCATGGTGTTTTGTCATTATCAACTTGGTGTTTTTGTTAGTTTTTTGACAATTATGTTGCTGTAATGTTTGTTTTTCTACTGAAGACCCCTGGATAAAAGGGTTTTTATAATGCTAATTACAATCTCTTTAATGTCTACTTACTGCCACTGTTATTTGTTTATATTTATTACTGTCTACTCCTATTATGTTGTTATGCTTAGTTGTACCCTTTTTTTAGTTGTACCCTTTTTAGTGGTCCATCTTCATTAAACAAAACCATTGTACTGTGTGTGTTAGTAGTCACATTCATAAACTATTATTATGAAGTCAAAATTTATCAGTGGATTTTATTAACTTTTTATTGAATGTCAATTTTGAATAAAGAAATATTTTGTAAAGGAATGCTTTTTTGTCTCCACCTTTAAGAACTTGTATCAAATTATACATTGATAAAATTACTGCCATGGTTATAGTACATTGTTGTACTATTTTTTTGTTCTAACTTCACATTCAGTCATATAATGTGTATGGTTGTGCCATTAAAGACTACTTATCACCTACTTATTATCTTCGTTAGAGATTTGAAGCATGCATTACAGACGAGGTCAAGAATAAACAAAACGAACAAGCATTTGTTTTTGGTGTTCACCTTTAACCAAACTTTTGTCATATTATACATTGGTTACAGTACTATGTTGTGCTATGTTTTTTCTCTAACTTTACATTCAGTCATTTAGGGTGTATGGTAGTGACATTAAAGACTACTTATTACGCACTTATTACCTTTGTTAAACATTTGAAGCATACATTACAGATCAGTTCAAGAACAAACAAAACGAACAAGCATTTTTTTCATTCAAAAGAAAAATATAATGTTCCATATAGTGAATTTTTGAAACCATATGTGAGCAATACATGGAGTAAAAAGTCTTACTAAAAAAAATTAAGGAAATTATACATTCTTTTTGCTTCAAAACAAATAGCTTTAACAGAAATTTGAGAACATTACATCTTATTCCAACCACTGCCTTTGTGCTAGAACTAGAAATCATTTTGAGCTTTCAACTGCGTCATGATGTGCATGCAATAGCTGCTTTGTCGTCAATTTCTGTCGGTACATTTCTATGTTTTCCTTTGAAACTTTATTCACATCTCTATCCATCATTAGATATTCAGCAAACTTGATGACAAACATGCCACAATTGCCCCTGTAGAAGCATAAATTACTTGAGTAAAAAGGTGATTGCATATGATATTTAAACAAATGTGAAGAAAAAAAATTACAGACCCACATACCCATCATTCTGCTGTAGACATTCCCTAACCATATCAATCTGAAATTTTGCTTTTTCTAGTTCTACCTCGGGACGCTTGTCATAAACTCCATACCTCTCCATCGGTTTTGGTAAGAAAGACTCCAAGCATGGTATGTATGCCCCTATGACTGACAATGAATCTCATCTTCTCTTTAGGGAGTCATACACTCTAATGCGCTTACCATTAATCTCTAGAATCAATAATATCTAGTGCTTTGACGTCTTCAATGACATGTATACAAAATCAGCATATGCACATGCCATTGCATTTCCCGTGTTTGATCCAAGCACAATATTCATTATGGTGCCATTATATGTTAATTTAGTCATTGATGTTTTCTCATTTTGCACCATTTAAGCTTGCGTCTTCAGCATCCCGATAACTAAAGGGTCTGTAATGGAATATTTTTTTCGGAGTTTGTAATGATTTCTTTTCACTCCCAAGTTGAAAATTGCCACTCTAATATGCTGAAACATTTAAAATATCGTTAATACAATTTATTTTCACCAACTATTATACAGTGTGTAAGCCATAAGTTAGTTTTTTATAACTTGCACTATCAGACAACCACTACTTATTTGTGAAGAGGTCATAAATCCATGTCTTAGTTGTTATAACAAAATCATCCAACCGTAATCCAAATTTGCATCCCACTAGCTCATCATACTTTTTTTTAATTTCTTTGAGACATTAGTGTCATGGTTCTTTACCAGCCCCTCCATGATAAATTGTTTTACTTTCTCTACCTCTTCCATAGGTGGCATTTGTTTTGGATCTTCATTGAATGATCCTTCAATTCCATTGATTTCGAACCTTTCAGTCTCATTTCTTTTCTTCATTTCCCTTTGCACTTTCCTTTTTTTTCATTTGGGTTGTGGGATTAGGTGTGTATATGTTGGGGCTCTAGCAATCCTTTTTGTCCTTCCAATCTCCTTTTCCTTCCCTGGACTGTGAACATCTTCTCCAGCCTGTGGTATAACCCTTTCTTCTTCTAAATCAACATTGTCAGACTTCATTCCGATGTCTTCCTGTAATTGCATAATAAATCATACATACTTAATCATTTATTTAAATATAAGATTTTTAAGAATATTGAATTACCTCTTCTTCTATTTCCTTCCCAGTTTCCTTCAAGTCCTTAATCACACTATCAATGGCATTGTCTACATGCATTTGCAACTCTTGTGTGTCAATGCTTGCATGAGCGGGAGTGAGTACCACTTCAATCTTCACATATTATTATGTTGTCTTTTTTGCGCCTATATGGTCTGCTTCATCACTTGTTACTTCATTCTCATGTTGTGAGTGCCTAAGGTGTGCATCCTCACCAATGGGATATACATCTTCTTTTTCATCACAAATATGTTCTACACCATCCTCACTGTCTCCTTTTTCCACCTCATTGTCTCCCTTTTCCATTATTCTTTTGTCCAAATTCTGACTTAGACTGGATGCAAGTCAAAACTAGGCATGTCGGCCAGGAAAGCTTCTTCATGTATTTTCCTCTGAAGCATTTCATTCTTATTAATGTTCATATGTTGTGCTTTTTGTAAGAAATAATCTCCCCAACATCTCAGTTTGCTTCTTTTGGCCATTGAGCAGCCTTTCCATTCCTTCTTCAAGCACTTTCACCCTACTTTCAAGTTTTTTATTTTTCTTGGATTGTAGTATCACCGCAACCATGATATTTCGCATAACCACCCTATCCCTAATTTGGTTGCCAACAAGTGTTCTTGTTTTCATCAAACAATTTAATCTGTGGAGACCACTTGTTTCATGATCACCCTTTTGTTGGTTCATATCCTCAGTTTCTCTTTCATTGCAGTCAATGTGTTCACCTTGACATTCATTTTGACTTCCATGAACTTCATCATCTTGATTAGCTGCACCAAATCACACTTTTTTTGTGTGTTTTGGTAGTCCATGTTTCAGAGTATGACTACTTCTTTTGAAAGTCTTATTCCTCATGGACTGGTAGAACGCATTCATTGTAGGAATCTTAAGCTCCTCTTTTGTTGGTTGCATTTCAATATATTCAAACTGTTTTTACCAAAAAAATATTCAAACTGTATTTCATATAAAAAACAGTCAATGAAAAGTTAATTCACACCATAATGCATAACTTTACATGACACACAATATAGACATTATAAAAATAGATTTACCCCTTCATTCTGAAATATGGCATCTGCTAGGGTCATCGTATTTGTCTTCTTTGGTGTCGACCACCTCAGCAACCTTGGCCATAACTTCCTTCTATCTTCATCTAACTTACAAACATGGGTCGTCCCAAGAGCTAGGAAATTTTCAAATGCCCATATTTGCAAGGCAAAAATGAAACCTGGAAAGGTGAACCTATGTCTTTTTTCCCTTTTAATGTTTTCAGTTCATTTAGGCACCTTTTCCAATAAATCTTCTCACACTTCATCCCCCCATCGATATTGGTTGACCAATTCCAGGTCATTTACCATGTTGATGTATATCCCCGAACATTTCACTAGCTTTTGGTTTCCCATTATGTAATTGGAAATCAAGTCCAGTACAACTAGTTTTACCCTATCTAAGGGTTGTTTCTCCACATGTATATCATCAAACTCCTCAAAAACTCTAGTTATGTCTTTCCTAGAAACATTATTCCTTCAATTAAAATACCTTCTCCATATGTCACCTACACTGTCTTGAATTTTTGGTTTTTCACCTCCCATCTTAAATCTCGTTATTAATGCCAATTTCTTCTTTATGAAATCCACCACTCTATTAGGACGGTGAGTTAGATGGAGATGTATCCCATAGAATCAGAAAATGGTGGATGAAGTGGAAGAGTGCGTCAGGATTTCTATGCGATCGAGGTATGCAGACTAGACTGAAGGGTAAAATTTATAGGACAACAATTAGGCCTGCATTACTGTATGACACGGAGTATTGGGCGGGGAAACAATGTCACATTCAAAAGATGAGTGTGGCAGAAATACCCATGCTGCGTTGGATGTGTGGGGCATACTAGAAAGGACCACGTGAGGAATGAGACAATTAGACAAAGGGTGGGAGTAGCACCTATTGAAGATAGGATGTGGAAGTCGCGCCTACGGTGGTTTGGTCTTGTGCATAGAAGACCGAGTGATGCATCTGTCAGACAAGTTGAGATGTGTGAAGAAGTGGTAGGGAAGAGAGGGAGAGGAAGGCCCAAACAGACGTGGGTTAGGGGAGTCAGAAGTGATATGCTTCTTCTTGGATTGGTTGAGGGTATGGCTTTGGAGTGATCTTGTATCATTTTTTCCCCTCTTTTTTTCTTTCTTTCTTTTTCTTTTTTTCTTTTTATATTTTTATCCTTATATATAAATATTACTTTATCCTTTTTATTTTATCTTTTATATGTATATTCATCTCTTTTATATTATCTTTTTTTATAATAGCTAATCTTTTTTATCTTTATTTTCTTTCTTTTGCTTTTGGTGATATCATGTATCGATTGATGTTAGCCGACCCCAATATCGTTTGGGACTAAGGCTTGGATGTTGTTGTTGTTGTTGTGCGCTGAATTGTGTAACAAGCAGAAAAAGTAAGGTTGGAGTTACTTTTCTGGCTGTATTGGCTAAAGTTACTGTAGACGACCATTTTAGCTATTTTTACATATAATTTTTTCTTAATTTTATTAATAAAATACATTTAATTTTTTTTTTAAATCAGTAGAATCAGCCAATGCAGCCACTTCAGCCATAACTTCATAAATTTCAGCAGAATCAAACAAAGCAGCCGATTTTTGTGCTACCAAACGGGCCCT